GATCGTGACCTTTAATGATAGTAAGCGTTGGAGCTTCATAAATGTGGTATATATAACACGGTGAAATTAAACCGCTCGTTGTTATAAATAATTTTAATCGATATAAGTCACGGTAATTTATAGTTCGAGTATAGAACATAGGAAGTAGGTTTCTGAACTTCTATAAAGCTATAAAGCTTTCTTGTATTTCTTCTCTTGTAATATTTCTCTGTACATGTAAGGTAGCGAGTCTTTTATTAAGCGCAATAACGTACTTGGCATTGTAAGACTCATGTGTTGCACCCCTTTTAAAAACCTGTAGTTTTCAGAATATCGCCGTTCATTTATTTAATAGGCCACAGCACGTACACAATTTTCTTTACTTAATCCTTAAGAAAACTGTTTGCGATTACGTATTGCCTAATATGGTTAATTCCCATCAAACACTTTCAAGAATCAACTGCACCTTAAGTGGCAATTTGAATATATCGTCTCTCCAGAAGAGAGCCGACTTCGTTACAGCACGTTCCGACCATAAAATCTCACCTTTTTCATTCGATCTTACAAATCAATATTTCGAAAATATTATCAATTATTCATCGAGAAACTTTTCTATGAATATTTTATCCGATCACTTTATGTAATCAAACATTTAGCAATACCATTTTCCCTTTAAATTACCACATCAATATTTAGCAAATACCGTAAAATCTATGTTTGCCAAAAAGGCCTTTTAGCTATACCTAAAACTTTCTGTCGATCAAATATTCAGTACACCAAAGGATCGAATGAACTGCTTTCCTCTTACGAAACGTTGCGCCAGCATTGCAAGTACTACACTTTCCTCTTTAAGCTCTCAAATCAATATTCAGTAAATATCGTAAATTTTACTTGCACCTGATAGATACACAGAACTTCCCTCTGTACCTTAACCCTTAGAGGCTGTCATAGGTGAAATTTCATCCTATGCATATTTTAACATAGTGTGACACGTGCCTAGCATAACGTAACGAGTACCTTATTCCATCAACATTCTAACGCAATGAATACTTCGTTTCATCGATATTTCAACGTCCTGATATTTCGAATCTCCAATTTTTAAAAGCTTGAACAAATCACCTTGCCACACCCGCAACAAAAATCCATCCATGTCGCTTTGATCGCTAATTCGGTCGACGAAGTTGCACCAGTTCCCCGTAAACCGAGGCGTACGCTAAACCACTTTCGCGCTGACCTCAAAAAGAACCATCGAGATCGTGACCAGTAAATCACCCGCTGTAACGCGTGCATTTCCCCATTAACCACCTTTTAATTTACTAAAAACTCGACGTTGTAGTTCCATTGACGCAACGCTAATGATGTTAATGGCCGGGCTATCGACATTCAGGGCAAAATCTTTCTTCTATTTCTGTGCAAAACATAGACTCGCGAGTAGCGATCCGTTGCGGTCGATTATCATCAACGAGATAGAGGTCTCACGTTCGCCATCGTCGATGGTCGTTTCCCACCGGCGAGTATCGTCGCGAACCGCGGGTCTGTATCGTCGCCGTTATGCACGAGCAATCGCGCCACTTAATTGGCGTCCCTCGGTTTCGCTCGAAGCGGCGCGAAAGCAATATTATCATGCGGAAACCTTTAAGGCCGGCCAAAGGGGAACCGCCGTCGTCGCGCACCAACAATCCTAATAATTGCACGTGACAGAGGAACGCGTTACGCGCGAGATAATTAATCGGCCGATTAATTAAACGTCCCGCCCAATGAGATTACCGATCCTTTTAACGGGCGATTCAAATCTTTGCGGCTGATTTTGTGATTGCCAAGAAAAGCGAAAATATAGAAATGTACACGAACGTATGTGTAACATGTAACTGTTGAAACTTTCACTTCCAAGTGTTGGAATAAATTTTGCGCTTTTAGTTTTATAGTTTACGCGGTTAGTTCGAATTCAGATACTCTGTGAGAACAACTTTATTTTTGGGGACATAGTTATCGACAGTCGAATCATCTTATTTGTCTCCAACGTTCTGTTTCAGCCTGTTATACTAGTTTCCCATGTAAAGTTATCTCCACGCATTCGTATGACTGCATACTTATATCCTTCTGTCATGTACGAAAAATATTTGCCCTATTTTCTGCTCTATCGAATATTCATAGTTTACCTCGAAGAAACTTTTTCAGTCGACTGTTATACAATTGCGAGTAGGTTTCACGGGCGCGGGATAATATTTTGTCATATTTATTTTTCAGTGACAGTGATAAGGTAACTTGGACTTTTTCTCGAAAATAACACGGTTCTTTATATATTGAATATTTTAGAACGACTCCGAGTATTTTATTCGTGTGTAGCATATGCTGGCGAAATTATTTATTTGCCAGGAGCTATAGCAATATTTTCAGCAAGGAAACGAATGTTATCCCGTTGCTCCCACCAAACAGATAAGCACAGTAAAAAATCGCCCACTCTCGCGCGAGAGCGTTCAAAACCGTGTAACCTTCAACCGTAGAAATAATCTCCTGGGTGAATCATGGTGGAGATATTTAAGGTGGAAACTGTAGATAAAACACCTGGCATTTAACTTTGCAACAGTTGCAACTTTGTCAAAGTAATCCTTGCTGCCTCTTCCTCTCCAAACAAATTTTAATACTTTTCAGCCACTATAAATTGATAAAATACATATGTATAGGTACCGCATAAGATAAACCAGTAGGATATTTAGGTTGAGATAAGCGTTTTGTCTTCTTACGTCTCTTTTCGACGAATCTAAAATACACGATATTTTCTCATTCTTTCGTTGTTATTTCAATGACCGATAACGACACACGCTAAGCGACAAAGTTTATTATTCTAAGGTTGAAGCTTAGCCGACTCGAATAACTCTATAGCTTACCACGTTGTATCTATCGCCTCTTCACCATCTTCAATTCTCAACACCAAATTAACCGAACACAAAATTACACGGTTCGAAATAAAAAAAGGCAAATGATTGATTGAATTCGCAAACGATTAAAAATCGAAATGAAAGTCCGGACCAGAACAGTCGTGCGTTAAAACTCTGAGAAAGATTATGGACTGGCACCATAAATTATCGTTCTGCGAAGTAATTCCATGACGCGC